GACGATTAGCGATGCTATGAAGCCCGGTCTCCTTCCAGCGCCAACACAAAGAAGTATTGCGGCTAGCCGGACGCTGCGGCACAGATCTTTCTGGCAATCTTTCCGGCACAGAAGGTAAAACTAAACGAGGGCTTTGGGAGAACATGTTCTCAATGCTTTGATGTACTGGGTACGAGAAAGTTTGGCACTGCCAAAGGCCGCGGCCCAGCGAAACTTTCCGGCATGTCCTTGTAAGTGAACTGACCCAATGGGCTTCGCTCAATGCACATTTTAGGAATAGGGTTGGTGCTATACGATTCGTTGGGCGCGACGAGAGCGATTGGCCTCTCGTACTTCCTTAGCTATCTTCGTTAAGCTGGGGTTGTTTGCAAGGCCCAGAAAAAGGCCCCCGGCTCGACGGAGACGCTGAAACGAGTCTATTGTAATGCTGAAGTTTCAGGCTTTCCCGTCCGACGCGTGTCTACCTAAGTAAAAGACCAGAACTTGGTGGACTAGCCGTGAAGAGTACCTCTTACCACGCATGCCGGTTTCAAAGGAATACCGTCGCCTGTGCCGCAACTGATTGTGCCTAAGTACCTCGTACCTACAGTAGGTACCGCCATTTTTGAGACATTGAGATGTCGCTTCACACGCATCTCCATATCTCATCTCGGTTACGGCGCCACAGCACAGTGAACGACAAGTTGAATCGAGCAGGCAAGTCGAAGAGAGCGATCTTCGATCACGCCTAACCGGAATCGTGCTGATGCGGGTATCAGGGAAGGATAAGGTTGAAGTGGCCATGGAGGCGAGCATCCGGGCGGAAGAGGAGCACGCTCTCTTTGCTAGGGTCACGGAAAGTGGGACAGGACAAGCTGACCACTGCTCGTCCGACTTGTCACATCTTCCCTCCGCTCCGGTTAACGGCTAGGAAGTTCTCAATCAGCAACGTACTTACCTACCCGGTTAGCTCTGGATGAGAGATGCAAAGCCCCGGTTTCGGGGAACTTGCGTCGTCTCCATAATATTCCCTGTGAGTGGAGTTGTAGTGGCCTGACTCTTTTCCGGGCCATGACCCAAGCTTTTAGCAGACTGAACGCCGATACCGATACGAAGGTGATTGAATTTGAAGTTTTTCGCCTGCACTTGTAGGTTTCATATTTTGCCTGGTGCCCAGACGAGTGAATTTGGATTCATCTCAAGAGCTAAGTTCTTGTGGAAACCATGTGATGCAGCACGGAGCTTTGGAGGCTCCGCCTTTGATGGCAGACGCTACGATCGTGGGCCTGGTGACTCGCGATCATTGGGAGACTCCTACATCAAGTAATAGGTCGCTGGCCAACTGTGAGAGACCAGGTCCAGGGGGGTGGGCGGGTGCGTCCTCGAGGGTGAACATCAGGTAGACGCGACAGGGGCCGCTTAAAAGGGTGATCAACCGTTGTGACTTGGCCCCTTGGGTCTTGGGGCGCTAGGCATTGGCCGTTTGGAGCCAGAAGGAGTTTGGCGTTGGCGGCGTCTGGAAGGATCCATCGACTGGTCCAGGCCACGCCACAAAGCCCGAAGCTTTTGACGATGGATGTGTGACCTCTTGTCCGTGTTACCGGGTAGTGAGTGCAGAAGGCTTGGTAAAGGGACACGAAGGGCGGCAACAGAACTGCTTCAGAGCATGCGTTTCTCGGGTTTCGCTGTCCATTGGTCGGAATTGTGCTGGTATTGCATAAAAGGATCGATGTGAGAGCAGGAGGTGGTGGCCTTTGAAAAAGAGAAGGGTTGTTGCTTGGGTGATGGCAGAGATGGATGAGACCGGCACTTTTGGAAGGTGGAAGCTGAAGCCCCCTGGCGCAGGCGCAAGCAGCCTGGCATGTACCCAGTACAGTAGCTGCGCTCTCTGACGTAATATGGGATGGTGGGGAGACGAGGGAGGTTGGGGACTTACCCAGCGAGCAGTACCTGCCGAGTACCCAGTACCCAGTACCCAGTACCCAGTGCAGGGACTCGGGAACCGCATTCATCCATCAACGCCTTTCCACTTTCCACTTTCCACTTTCCACTTTCCACTTTCCACTCTGGAATGCCGGCTCCCAATCATGGAGTCTCCGGAAGTACTGGGTACTTGTTAGTCGAACCACTTTACGAGGTACTCCGTCTACAAGTACATATGTTCACACCCAATGATGTAAAATCGACGAGAACAGAAAATGGCAGGTGAGGGCGGGCCCTCTGTTCCGTTGCACAACACGGAGGAAATGATTCGAGCTTTAGCAACCAGCCCTGCTCATCCCTGCTCATCCCTGCTCATCCCTGCTCTCCACCCTGGAGACTTTCGGCCTCTTCTCGGATGCTCGGGGTTGATGTTGGGCATCGTGATCTGCTCTGCGACAATCTCTGATATCTGGTCCTTCTCATGGTATGTACCGAGTATGTATCCCTGGAATGCACGGATCTGGGATCTTGCCCGGGGCCAAAGCAGATGCAGATGGTAGCGGATTCCTCCGGGAGATCTCGCCTTTCCCTCCTACAGTCACCGTCTCAGCCGATCAGGACGGAGGTGCGTACCTATGTAGATTGTACTCGTAGAGAGAGCTCCAATACTCACCTGCTCATTGGTGCCATTTGTTGTCAGTCCCCCGCGCACAACACCCCTCAGCAGCCCTTGTCCAAGTGCGGTGTCTGGTGCTTGTTGCACATCGGTTGGCTCCTAGAAACGGAAGATTTCATGGCGAAGTGAATTGTGCTTCCCTCGGCCGCGTGTCTGTCTCTTTCTGAAACGGTTCTTTCGCTGCTATCCCTCGTGAAACCAATCAGCACGACCGTGCAGGGCAGTGGACGGAAACGCAGCCCAGCCACAGTGCCCGGTGCCAGATGACCGTGGCTCATGTCATGGCAGTTGGAAAGTCCCGAGGCGTTCCGTTTGTGATCCCCGCCCCTCCCCCCACGTGAAGCCTCTCTGATATAAGTAGGTACTCGCACAATTTTGCGTGATGTCCCTCGGAGCCAACCAACTGAAACGCTGGTCGATGGCATGGATCATGCACAGACCAAAGTCAAATGGAAGATGGCTTGCAGATCAGAAACAGGGTAAGCGGGGCGAGCAAGCGCCGATCCTGGGTTGGCGATGTAGGGGTGCGAAGTCGATTACCCTGTCGACTGGGCCACTACCCAGTAGACTTCCTTGCCTTCCCTTACTCTGGGTCGCGGTAGACATGGACCATGCGACTATCCCAAAAGCATGTGCCGATCATGACCGGCAAATCCTGTCGCAACTCTCAAAACCTGGATGCTGGTTAGCAGCGTGACTCCGTTTGGGCTCAAAGAGGCCAGGCCCAAAACATGCCCCCCTTCCAGGTAGTGGGCAACCGTTGTTGGACGGGCTAGGTGGAATCGCCCAAAACGGTGGCTCGCAGCTCGACAACTGTCCGGGCTGCATATTCGAGTATCTTAGTTCGCGTCCCTTGTGTCTATCGCCGGCCAACTTGGAAGCTAGTTCAGAGACCAGACAAGATTCCTCCGGAGCCTGCGTCCCGGATGGCTTGCTGGCTTTTGCGGGCTCGCTGAACTTTTAGACTGGATCGTACCGTCTATTGGCTTGACGACCCCATCAAGTGGTGTGACTCTGGCAAGGCAGTGCTGACTCGAATTCCTCTGCTCCTCTTGCTCAACTTTTGCCCCCTCCGATGCGAGAAAACGAGTCCTTGGCTCGAAACGAACAAGGTCTGTTTGGCCGCTCTTCAACCCAGTTTTGGGGGCAAGTGGGTTCTGTGCAGCAAAAATGTCTGAGTGTGTTAGTGCTAGATCTCGATCCAGTGATCTAACAGTCGTCCGGTGGCGTCTGACTCTTGGTCGCTAGGAAAATGCCGGCAGTCAAAAGTCCTCGTACATACCAAGTACAGAATCAGTACGGGACACGTGAGCGACCAAAGACACCAGAGGTCTTGGGCCTCTCTGGCTACCTCAACCAGGTCAGCGAATACATCCACGCTATGCCCAATGTCTCGCAGGCTGTAAGGAGTCTTGGTCCGGCTGATCGGGGAATCAAGGTGTGCTAAAAGACCTAGGGGCATGCTCGAGGTCTGTAGCTTCAAAGCCTGGCATGACAGAAAGCAAAACACCAGGAAACGAAATAGAGCACAATCAAGTTGAGCCCTGCGGCTGCTGCCATAGTATTGATTGACAATAGTCTCTGTTATTTTTGGTTGCGATCCTTGCTTGAATATTCCGTACTCTGTGTGTGTGCGTGTGTAATAATCATGGCCCTGAGAAACCTTTCCCGACAGTGGCTGCCGCCGCCGAACCAGAGGTCGAACAGACATCCGATGGAGACCATGGGCCTGCTTGAGGATCAGCTCATTTTCTCTTCGTCTGCACTTCCGTCGACCGTGGAAAGTGTCAAGCCAAACCTCGAAACAGCCACAACCCGAAACCTTCCCCAGTATCTGCTCATACAACTATTCTGATCCATCACTCGTCATCCACCATCCAACCCTCCCCCCCCCCGGCAAGCCCGCCTTGTCACTAAGCAATAACAATATCGTAAAACATATTTTCACGGAGCCAGAATGCTCCGCATGCCTATAATAAGGCATTGGTCGGGGTATCAGAGAGAACAAGCCTTATGTGGCCACCCCCATCCCCGACGATGGTTTCGCCCAAGCTCCCCGTAATGCCTCTAATAAGGCATGAAAGACTGTACACAGTGACGCCGTCTTTTTTCCCCCAGGTATTTTTTGGTCGTTCCACGACTCCAGGCTTCATCTGTACAGTCCGTTGAGCCAAACACATGATTTCCATAAGTGCTCCAATATTGTGTCCCTGTCAGCACCAGTGAAATGAAAAAAGAACGCAAAAGACCGCTTAAACTCCTCCAAGGTTTCGTCATAAACGTGCCCGAGCATTCAACCACATAGTCGTAAACATATCTCCTAATAGAGATTTCGCACGTATGTCAACAAGTAGATTCGTCGCCTGTGTCCGTATTCCGCCTGCAATCCCCCCACCCCGCCATGATGGGAAGCAGGCGCTCGTTACGGCCTCGTGGAGTCGGCATTTTTAGGGCGAAGGTTTGCTCCGGTCATGGCTGCCGCCTTGTTGATGCCTAATTTTCGTGTGAGTTTTGCATAGTGAAGGCCACATGCATTACACAAGGTGCGTGCTCCGTCTGGGCCTCTTCGCCATTCAGGCGTCTCGGCTCGGTTGCAGCTGTGACATCGGCCGGGCGGCGCGGCTTTCTGTAACACCAGTCAGTTAGAGTCGCGCTGCTGCGGCTGATGATATATACTGACTCCACGTCGCTTCTTCGCATCGCTTGTATATGCGCCGCCTTTGTATTCGTCGGATGGGGCCTGGTAGTCTTCTTCAACTGGAGCGCCCCGAACAAGTCGAGCTTGCTGCTCGGCTTTGGCAGCCTCTCGAACAAGTACCACTTCTCGTATGAAAGAGAGGATTTCGTACGAGCGATGGGTAAAACGGAGCATCTCGTCCACCTCGGCTGCTGAGGGTAAAAATTCATGTCCGTAACCCGACCGACTCCCGTGGTGGAATCGTTGACCCCAAGTCCGGGCAAACTCCAGGGTACGGAGAGAGCCATCGCTAATCTGGAGACATAGTCAGAGCCACATTATACGTCGGGGAGGAGGCGGAGATAACAAACTTCATTGAGCCCTATCTCAGCGTCAAATGATTCCAGATGCCTCTTAACGGCCTCGTTGTACTGGGCCTCGTTCGCTGGTTTCGAGCCTGCAGTAAATTGGAACACCTCATTTGTAGAAGACGGTGCATTCGAGGAGCTGGGATTCCCGAATGGTGGGAACGCTTGTTGCTGTTGCTGTTGTTGCTGTCTGGGCGGCGGCTCGTAGGGTTGGGGAGACCTAGCCGGCGGGGCAGGCTCATTGTGGTTTGTGAACGTAGTATTCGCTAGTGAAGACGAACGAAAATTTGACGGCTGTTGCTGAGAAGTTGGAGAGCCTGGGTAGCCAAAGGCCTGAGAGACTGGTTGGCGAGGATCGGGTGCAGGAGCAGGTGGCGGAGGGAAAGGCGGGTTCGCCGTCTGGGTTTCCGTCGGTGTTGATGCGGTCATTTGAGGCGCCGAAAACACATCCCGTAAGACAGGCACACCAGGGGCTGGTTGGGAAAAGGGATTCATAGGGCCCTTGGGGCCTTCGGAGAACGACTGGCCCACGGCTGTCGAAGGCGTGGGCAAAGACTGGTGCTGAGACGAGGTTGAAAAGGGCATTGACTTGTCTCCCAGAGCCTCATGGATGGATGGCAGGGATTTGCGAAGGTCAGGCGAATCCTTCTCGTCCCGGGTCGAGCGTCGAGTGGTGGATTCGGGAGGAGAGATGTAGCCAGACACGCCAGTCGTCGATCCTGCCGTCGACGGTGCACATGAGTATGGCGGAGGGGGCCCTGAATACATAGATGCCGTGGGACTAGCCAAGGGTGCCGTCGAGATGCTCAGGCCGTTTCCGAGGGAATACCTGGAGAGATCGTTTCTCTCGGTTCTGAGGGTGTCCAGCTCGAGATGACTTATCGACGGCAACGTGTCTCTGATAATCACATCAGCAAAGCTCATGTCTTCAACAGAGGGTAAGAGATTACCTCAGTCGAGGGGCGGCATCTATTGTCGCCATTGTGACGGGAGTCGAGTATGGAATCTCGGGTCCAGCAATGATGGATATTCTATTGTTTGAAAATAGCACGATGAATCATGAGGTTGGACCGCGGAAAGGAAAATGTTTTGCTCCCAATGTACCTTTCCGCAGAGGTTGCAAGTCCGCCCGCTCCAACGTCACGCAAGGGCTTGGGCCAATACTGTTGTCGTTGCACCAACGAGATGGATATGAACAGTGCAAGGAGCCGTCTTGATCGGCCGTCTTGATATTTGCCTTGCTGAGTACACCGAGCAGGACCAAAGACGATTTGAGGAACAGTTTCAACCCTTGGTGTTGGCTGGATGGAAATTGTCAAACTGCGCAGTCTCGCCCACGGCTCACGGTCGAGTACTCAAGATCTGCTCAATACCGCGGCGGGAAGGTCGTCGAAGAGGGTGATGCCGAACTACGAATGTGCAAGAGCAGGAGATGCAAAAGAGGATCTCAGAGAAGGAGGAGGCGCAAGAGCAGAGTGTTGAGCGTGAGTTGTTGGGTGGACGATGGGAGGGGGGTTTTGACGGAATTCGGAGTCGAAGGTTGGTTAGATGATGGAAAGAATGAAGACGAGCAAGTCTTAGAGAGCGAGATGGGCGGAGAAAGATCGAGAGATCGCGCTAAGCATGGGCCGGAGGGCAGGTGGGAACCTTGAATCCGGATGTGCAGCTGGTGGGTGATGGTGCTGGGTGTGTGAGTTCTGTGTGTGAAAGCCGAAAAGTGGGCTTTGTGCCCTTGGCGAGTCGCAGGCCGAGTCGAGGAGGAGAGGCGACAAGGGGGTTGTGTTCTCTGGAAGTCTGACCCAAACAGCAAAAGTCAGCCAGTGAACAAACTCTGGAGGGCTTGAGGGCTCGAGGGCTTGCGGTGGGCCACGGAGTCAAAAATACGTCGTACGTGGGTTGACACTGGTGACGCCCTCCAAGGCAGAGGGCGTTTTACTTAGGGCAGAGAGTGTTTTGGGTACAGTCTTGCCTTCTTTTGACTCGAGCGAGCCACCGCGGACCGGGGGATGGAGGAGCGATGGCTTTTTTCTTTCCTTGATAGACTGATAGACGGCTGACAGGGGCAAGCCTTGTCGAGCGATGATCATGGTCTCGGCCTACGATGCTTGGGTTGGGATGATGGGATGATGGGGGGGGAAGGGTCGGAGTTGGGAAGTTGATGGAGCTGGTTGGAATGCAGTGGGTAAGAGACATAGGAAAAGCGGGGGGGAGGGGGAAGGAGAGAGTTGCCCGGCTAAGGAATGAATGGGTTTAGGCACTGTATTAGGGCCAAGGGGCGCAGACTTAGGTCGGCTCACCAGTTAGAGGGGGGGGCGAAAGACCCTGCCCGCCTCCCTGGGAAACCGATCGTTCGACTGTTTTGGGGCATCGGAGGAGCAGCAGCCGCACCTCCAGAGATGCCCTAGGTACCTGTTCCGTTGTCCTGGGCTCCCTTGATGCTCGCATGCTCAGGCAGCTACTCGGTACATAATACATAGATACAGGCACCTATAGCCCAGATCTGCTTTCTCGCTTCCGCACGTTGACCTCCTTTCCATACCCTTTCCCCCCTCTCTTCATCGTCCATGCCTCTGTCGTCCCAGAACAGCAACCTCGAGGTTGAGAACTTTGCCGACTGCCGCCCGCAACTGCACTGCTCGAAGCAATTGTTGATTTAGTGCAGTGGAGATCAATACGGGCGCATTCACCCACTGACAGAGCTTCAAAGTCCCCGGGTCAGTTTCCGCCCGGTTCCTCTGGTGCCTCTGGTTCCTTCACTGTCACCTATTTCTTGTCATGCCGTGTAACCTGTAACCACAGTAAGAAATCCAATTTGAGTCTGGTCAAGTCTGGATTCGTCCTGCACCCACAGAACCTGGATCTTGCACCAATTTGCCGCTTCCCACCATGCCCAAATTGATCTCGCCTAGCACTCGCCAGGCCCTTACCCGTCATCGCTGGCTGACTTTCCATCGAACTCGCAGGAAACGACAACTCCACCCCGTCCTGATCCCCCAGCTAAGCGAGGCGCCTCCGGCGCCAGTGCGAAACCTTTCGTGAGCAATTCTACGCATGCAGGAGTTGCTCGTCCGATTGACCGTACGGAGTAAGGCCATTTATTCAATTTCTTTTGAGCTCTGGAAATAACACTAACAGCAGCGCCTCTTGCGATCTCCCGGCGAGGGTAGACATGCCAAAGAGTACGAGGTACAGTCTCGAACTCAGTCGTCCGATGCTCCCGCGCGTCGAGCAGGCCACGGAAACGTTGGCCTTCAAAGTTTCAGCATTGACGTGCTCTCCATCACGCTCGCTACCGATGACTTTCCCACCTACACAAAATAGACTTCGGGGCAAAAGCCAGCTTGTCTGGGCCACGTTGGATGACACCTGACAAGTCAGCAAGCAAGCACGAAGAGCAAGACGAGGGTTGTTCCGTTGAGCTGTTGGAAAATGGACTCCGAGCCAGTTGAGCGCCAACGTCAATCATCCCATTACACGTGGAATTCGAGAGCTTATCGAATCAAGTCGGGCAGCGCTGGAGCTTAGACTTTGCAATCCTCCCTTTCAGATCGATCCGTCGGGACGTATCAGCGCCTTCTGATCTCCTGCCCCCAGCGTCATAATGTATATCATCGTTGCATCGCTTCGCCACTATTGGTTTATGGCAGCGCCAGCATCGACGCTCGATAGAACTTTCTTTTTGTGTCTTGTTGCCCGACCGGTTCTTGCTGGGCCAACAAATGTCTTCTCCCTTATAGTACTGTAGCTGAGTTCCCACCACACTACTGGTGCTCCTGTATCCAATCCCCTCTTGGCCTAAGGAGAACCTTCAGATTTGCCTTCGCCAACGCCATCACCCATCGGCCTCGGCTATCTGGACTGGCTCTTTCCACCAAATAATGTCGCTTAGTTGGTATCGGGGAGGCTGCATTCTGCTGCCTCTTGACATTGCTACGTACGCGAGTCCTCAGAGGTTGATCTGCGGCGTCAACTGCTCTCCTGGGCAGAAACCCTTAGAGCCCATGCCGTCGCCTTGCAATTCTTGATAGAAAGCTGCGAGCATCGACGAAAGCCGCCGATCCGTCTCCAGCTCGTGGCGGCCATTCAGAAACCATGTGGCTGCCTCGCATCAAGCTTGACTCGCTGGAGCTAACAGCTTGCGGAGGAGCTGGAAAGTCGCATCTTGACAGATGTCAGGAATCTACCAAGTGCCATTCCAGGTGACTGGATCGAGCATGTGTTGCTGCGAACCGTGATGCTCCCAGATGCTGTGTCACCTTGCCCTGAATGGGGCATTTGAGCCCACAACCAGTCAGTGATGGCGCCGGCGTGTTGTGGAGCGAGCATTACGGCTTGAAACCACAGCTTTTCTGTAACTGTATACGAGTGTGTCTCGCTGTCCGTCAGTCCCTCTCGAATCGAACTCGGGTTAACCAGTCAGAAGAGGATTAGGGAGGAGAAGGATGAGCGCTGTCGCCGTTGACAGCTGCCAGTGACGTCTCTGGCTGCTTCGAGGGCCAAGACGGCTACAGCATGCATGCCATTCACCAGAGCTCTTGCCCATCTGGCACCCAGAGTTTGATCGGCTACATGGTTCCAGCTGCATCAGACCACGCTTAGGGAAGATTCCCGCAAATACACAAGTACATCGTTGCCAGGGACCATGCGAAGTTGGAGTTGGCCACGATGACTGCAACGCACCCTCGTATTTTCCCTTGTTTTTGCATGACGGCCCAATGGGCCAAAACCCCCTCCCTTCAGAGACACGGCGCAAGCGAGACCCTCGAAGCCTGACCGAGCCGAAGTCCTTCAAGGATCACTCAGTCCACTATAGCAGTTCTTTGAGGGCTCTTCCTGCTGTCAACTGTCTTCTGTCCACCTTGAGCAATTCACTCTGTTGTACGGTGATGTGCTGAACAGATGTGATGGACCCAGGTGGGTGTCGTTTGCATTGTTGCAACGGGCAGGACGCCACCAACACGTGGCAGGCGAAGTCCAACCCGCCCGATTCACGATCAGATTGAGAGGCTTTTTGTAAGGCATTCTCCACCCCATCACAACCTCTGGGTTAGTGGTTAACAGCACCAACCGTCTTTTAGTCTATTTTCAGCCCTGCTTCAAGAATATGGAGTAACAACTGTTCGGAGAAGCTGAGCATCTCGCCCAATCCAGTGGAAGCCTGTGAGCGCTTGGGCCTTTTCCTCCTTGCAAGATGCAGAGATGGAGCAATGTCGGGCGTCTCGCCACTGGCCAACCTGGAAGACTTTTTGGCCTTGGTACTATGAATCTGGGTATCGGTGCCCGCCCCCCCTTCCAAGAGCGATCAACGATCTCCTGCATGTCTTAGCGCCAGCCACACTTGTCCAGACTAATGCCCCTAACCGGTGTAGGATCGGTCTGCTCCTCCTTTTCGTGGCCGCTACCTGCAACCGATGGTTGCACAGCTGATCTTGCTGATACATACCCTACCCAACAAACGGACAGGGAGCAAAACTGGGCATGTGAACCACATCGGTCACACACCTCGTACTGACCTCTTAGATTGCGCTCTTCTGCCCCAGCGGTCAGGTTGTTACTACCCAGTAGGTGGCTGGCGCCTGCCATGACTTCTTAGTCACTTGTGGACATGCAGGTTCACAACGGTTGCGCAGGAGCTCTGCATATCAATCAAAGGCATTGTTCACTAATTGGCACCCCAGGGTTTTGCCTTGACCAAACAAGCAGTCGGCCACCAGCCATCAACAGAACCAGATCACATCGCCAATGACTAAACACATCCGGAATCCACCGCCTCTCACCTAACACGGGGGGGGGGGGTTTTTTAACGCAAAAAGTGCAAGTGGATCTGGGTGAACATGTTCTGGACAGTTTGAAGGAGAAGAATGCCATGACGCACACCTTTGCCCTTTCTTTCCGGCTGTCTGAGGCTACCTACCACAAGGTTTGGGAGGTTGATGTACATCCAAGAGAGAGTGGGTGACGAGCTTGCAGAGAACCATTAGCGCCTCTCAATTTCTATTACAAGCAAGATGACATGTGTCCCACTGATTGCAGGAATAGCCAAGTAACGCAGTCAGCCTTGAGAACCCCCCTCCCTGCTTTGCTCTTTGGGACCTGGGAGACACGTCGCGCCGATTCTGGCTTGGTTTTCCAAGTGTATCTGGCCCCAAGTAAGACGCGAATGGCGCACGGAGATCCTTCAATGACATCCAATTACTCTTCACACGCCAGATCCGGTCAAATCTGTCGAACCCGGCGCTGATTTCGGGCTTCGAAACACACCAGATTTTGCATCTGATTCGGCTTCAATTTGGACAGCCATGCAGTGGAGCACTTCTGGGAAACGATACCAGCGTCCCCAACGTCCCACGAGCCTGGCGAGTTGAGAGGGGACCAGTCGCATCACCAGGATCCGCGGGTTGGATTGTCTGACAACGGTTCAAACTTGTGGCACTGGCTGGACGTTGAACCGTTACACAACGCTAATAAATGAATGGTTCACCAACCACAGGTTGACAAACAAGCCATCGAGCCAGTCTCTCACTGTCGCTATTCGGGAAACTCGACCTCTGCTGACCGTCAATAATGGCGTAGGGCGACTTGTGTATGTGGATCAGGAATCTGAACACTCCTTCTGGCCAACGCCTGTGGCCTTTTCAAGCTCGCAGATCTTACTCACCTCACCTTTTTTTTTTTTCAGGCGGCATTATTTCTCAGGCCGTGTGGGGAGAAGGAGCAAAAGTGTTGACAGATTCGGCAGGTTCCTAACAAGGATGACGGCAGTTTGAAAAATAATGTGCCGTGTGTCCCTTGATCGAACTCCATTCCCGCTGCAGTGTGAGGCCGGCCGCTGGCAATGGACCCTTTGTGATCCAGCTGCTTTCAAATCTGTCTCGCCTTCCATCCCACTACAGGCATCTGCATCTCCCGACTGCCCTCCCGGGGATTGTTTGACGTGCATGACAGCAGCAAGATACCATCGTGGTCCAACACTCCTGAATCTGGTCGACCCTCACACCGCTGGATCGGGGCCGCCGGCGGTTGACTTGTGCTCACGGTCTCTGTCAAGCCCCCAGCCAGCGAATGGAAGCGGCGGGCCCGAAATTGGGAGTTCCAGGTCCGTTCAAGACTCATCTTCGAAGATGCAGATCTCTACTACCTCAGGGAAACAGTCTTGGGCAGCAACATGGGAAGATCAATGGATTTCCTGTCACTTATCTTCTCCAGGACAGATGGCACCAGCTCCGGGCCTCCTTTGGGGGGGCAGGTTGGTCGACTTTTGGTTGTATCTCCACCTCATCAATCGTTCAGAAGCGCCGAGGGCAGAAAGAGAGGACATCACATACGTTGTGGCACAGTGAAACACTTTCACAACCCATCAGAGGTCCGCTTGGACTGACCCACAATAGCAAGCTCGGTAGTCAACTTTTCATGATGGTTCCATGTCCGCCGTTCCTCGTTGTGAGCTCTGTGAAGTTTGGAAGGAGAAGCAACACAGAATAACTCGTCTGGCATGAAATCTGCTTTTCGGATGGAATGAGGGTCGAGCCCCCATGTAGATAGAGAATGAGCCAACCCAATCTTTATCCGATGATGTAGCATTTGTCCTGAGCTTTAGTGCATTTAGAGCTCTTAGTATCGGTCGACACCGCTGCCGGTGTCTTGTACCGAAGCCTTACCTTGATCCGAACGACAGTGCCATTGTTGAGAGTAATCATGCAAGATCAAATGTGGGCTGATACCTGATAATACCTCTCTTGCGATTTTACGCAATGAACCTCATAAAGGAGGCATTCGCAAACCTGTTCAACAGTGGTATCTGGCACATCATAGCAAATGAATCCCGCAAGCAAGCCGTGTATGCGCCTCCAACGCCCTCGCTCGAATTCACAACCGTTCAAAACCGAGAAGTTCGGTGACCGTTTATACGTTTAAAAACTCGCCCACCAAAAATTTTTTTTTCAGCGCTTTCTTCCGCTTTTCGCTTCTTCACTTCTTTGGCGGCGGTGCAGGCTTGTGACCTGTCTTCAGCTCCTCCCAGAATAGTTTGAGAAAGTGCCCGACGCCTCGCTCGGAGGCTTGTTCGCCTGTTTCACAAGCCATACATATGAGCGTAGTTCTTTGTCCTGTCCAGGGATCACAACGAAAGAACGCCGTCAAAGGGAACAGAAACGAGATTTCCGGGCACGTACTATCGAGGTGCGTGCCGCCATAATATTCAGGCGGTTTGCCGTGTTGGAGTTCATGGACTTTCTTGTGTACTCGCTGGACCCCGCGGTGGAAGGAAGGGCTGCGAAGGAGCTGGAGGGTTGAGTCTGGTTAGACGTCTTCGATGAGCGTGGGTAAGTCAGGTTCTGGCCTGTGACGAGGACGGGCTACCATTTCTACTAATCGCTTCTGTGTGAAGTGTCAGTGGATAGTCTCCTGGCGGAATGAGCGGCGAAACATGCAGACCTCGAGAAGCCACCACCAGGACATTGAGGCAAAGCAACAGGTCGGCAGGCCGCGCGTAACTTGGACGAAAGGTTGGCGGAGAAGTGTCTCTAGACGATGAGTCCTCAAGAGGATCGAAGTGTGAGGGGTTTGTATTAGGGGGTCGGTAATAGGGGTGATGATGGTGTTCGATTGTTTGATGATGGTTCTGGCGAAGTCTTGGATGGATGAAGTATTAATATCATCTCCGCATCCGGTGACAGCTTGCAGCAGTTTGGGTTGTCGTAATATGACAGATTTGTACACAGATATGTACCTCGTACTACTGTCACTGCTCAGCCAGACCTCAGTGACAAATGCGAGAGGGTGCCTGTAATTTACACGGATTTACCTCGTGCCCAAAAGCTTGGTTGCAGCTAGGCCCTCTGCAATATGAGGTCAGCCATTCAGCCTCTTTGTTCTCTCTGGATTTCCTCTTGATTGGAACAATGCACTTGTCGCTTAAGCATAGAACCCATATCAAAGTATCCATAAAACATCTTCATTGGAACAAGGCTGTCGGCTATCTGCCTCCTTGGACCTTGAAAAGAACATTCTTCCTTTTCCTTGCCCCCGGCGCAGCATCTGGGTGACCCCTAGACCTCGAAACCCCCTCCGGCGCTTCCTGAAACCGATAAAGGCTCATTCCGTATCTGGAGGCTCGCAGGTCAACCGATAGAGAGACGACCGCAACTGGACAGTGACCTTTGATGCCCAAGACTCTCCAAGAACTGAACCAAGGAAATCCATTGAGCGGCCCAACCGTCGGTTGCAAGGTCCGGCAGCCGCAGCTTTGACAGCCTCAACCTCAACCCACCATCAAACACTGCTCTTGCCAAGCATCGTCAAACCGTTCTTTGTCCGCACAGCAATCGTGTGCTGACCTTCCCTTGTATCTGGAGAACCTCAATCGTTTGTTGCTCCTTTCCTCAATCGCCACACACTATCACAACGACCGTCTCAAGGCTGTTCGCCGACAAAGCCGGTGCCGCTCCTCAGGATCCTTCCTCTGGGGAATCGTCAAACCAAACCCCTCCCAAACGCCCATCAATTTTGCAAAGACTACATATCCACACGTCTGGGAAGAAAAACAAGCCTACTCCAACCCTGACCATCCGACCTACCAGTTCCTCTTCTCTGCCACCTCTCTCAACCTCGGTGAGTCGGGCTGGCTCATCTCACTCCTCCGATGCAGCAACCATCGCCGAGATCACCAACATCATGCCACAATCTCTATCCTTGAGCACCCCACCGCAGGGACCCATCAAGAGGCAGCGGTCTCAAGAGATGCCGGTCAACGTCTCTCGGCCGGCTTCCAGGGGCCAGGGACAATCTAATGGTCTAGTTGGCAAGCCTGATGACTCAGCAAAGCAGATGAATGTCAAGATACCTGCCTATCTGAACAAAACTCGAGCCAGTAAGTATTAATGGATATAAAATCATGAGCGCATGTGAGTCGCCCAAGTATCTGACTGGCACGCCATAGAGATCTCGTCGGCTTTTCAGGAACTGGAGTGGAAGCAGAGATACCGCCTTCAGCATGCTTCGCAGAATCCCCACACGTCTCCATTCCGGATCGATCGCTCGTTGGCTGTCATCAGTCGCAATCGCTATGGCAATGTTCAGCCCTGGGAGTCGTCGAGAGTCAAACTGAGGAAGCCAATTGGAGGGTCTGACTACGTCAATGCGTCTCCCATCACCCTCAAGAGTCGCCTCGCCAAAAGATCCCGCAGTGGCTCTTCAACTCCAGCATTGACCGGTCAGCCCCTGCTTCCCTCGATAGCGCCAATCGAAAGCAAATACATCGCTACTCAAGGTCCAAAGGAAGGTCAATTCTCACACTTCTGGCACATGGTCATGCAAGAGACACCAGGCGAGGCTGGAGTCATTATCATGCTCACACAGCTCTATGAAGGGAACAAGGAGAAATGCGCCCCGTACTTCCCTCTCGACATGGATAACCCGACAATAATCCTCCCTGCGCACGAAGATGGGAATGATGATGGAGAGACAGACGCCGTGGATGATGGTGATCCCTTTCTGGACCCCCCTGCGATAAGCGCTGAGACTGATAGTGTTGGAACAGATGCCGAAGACCCTCAAAGCGAGCCCCCAGGGGGTCCTGAAGACCAAGGGCAAGAAGCTCCTGCCCAAGAGCAAGGCCAATGTGGCTCGGTCTCTCTCCTTTCCTTACATTACGATGCGAAGATCGGTTGTGAAGTTCGAACCCTTCGATTGACGATCGATGGCGAATCCAAATCAATCTACCATTACCTGTTCCATGGTTGGCCAGATTTTGGCAAACCAGAAGCAGAAGATCGGAAGGCTCTCCTCGAACTGACCAAGGTGTCCAGAACCGTGGCGGGCGATTCGCCCCGAATTGTGCACTGTTCTGCTGGAGTCGGTCGGACAGGCACTTGGATAGCACTGGACTTCCTCCTACAAGAGCTCGAATCAGGCCGACTGGTCAACTGTTCGCCTCTGCAAACAGGTACGCATACGCCGACAACAAACTCCAACGGCACAAGCACTTGGGGGAGAAGCGGACCTCCAAAAGCAAGCACGCCTGATCCAAAAGATGATGAGGATCTCATATGGGAAACGGTGAATACGCTCCGCGAACAGCGTATGATGATGGTGATGAACGAATTGCAATACAGTTTCCTCTATGAAGTCCTGAAGGAGGCGTTTATTGAGAAGTACGCCGAGAAGGAGACTGGGCCCGTTGTCATTGAAGTGCAAGAACCGAGCCCGAAAGTGGCCAGGAAGAGGTCACCCTTTGGTGGAATGTTTCGTGGTGGCCGTGTGGGGACGGTCAAAGGCGATGAGGATACGGTGTCCGCGGACGGAGTTGAAGAGAGCGAATCGGAAGCGGAGACAGAGATTATGGAGAAGGAGAAGGCCGGCGTGGATGTGGATATGGACGAGGCTGTTACCGCCAGGCCGGCTGAAGATGTGGAAGGCCAAGCAGGCAAAGAAGGTGACGTAGATGAGGATCCTTATGCTGCTGTGGCGCCAGAGACGATCCGTGAGGGACAAGAGAAGAAAGAACAGAACGTGGGACGTGAACACGAAGTCAAGTAAAATAAGTCTATGGCTAGACCTGCATTTGGGAGGGATGAGCAATGATTGTATGAGCATGAACTTGTCATGAGCCATTGAAGGTTTTCGACGGGAATAGACATGTGGGAGCATCACGGTCCTGTATGAGATACCATCCTCCCTAAGCGGGAGTCGGCTGGTTTTTCGAGATGTTTGGGTAACGAAAAGGAATGGCCGTGGCCTACGACAGCGACCAGGCAGGCGAGCATTGAGGGCCAAACTGTGCTGATGGCGGAGTGAACTCAGGGTGAGAAACAAGGCAGTGCGAGACAAATGGCATGTTTTCGCACTCCGTGGCAAGGCTTGCACTGAAGTTTGTCAACGTCATTGTCCTTTCCACCCAACTCTGAAAAGTATGCATGGCGTAGATAACGAATGTCTGAGAGGTGCAATAACTGGGCCGAGGGTTTCGCGTCGCGTATCACAAAGAACAACTCTCTGTACAAAAGACTCCGGACTAGGATGCTCTTTCACAATCCTGATCACATCCCAGATCGCGCTCGACTTGGACAACAGCTTGTCGAATATGTCACGGCGCTTCACACTCTGGATCCAGGCCTGATAACGCGGTCAGTATGTACATACGAGGTATGTAAGTGGCGGCTCCATTATGTCATTCAGACCCAATGACAATCGAGATCTGAGTCTGAAGAACCGCAATGCTTTCCAAAGTCTGTTGCGCACCATCAACGCGGAATGAGCTTGTGCAGGTCAATGCCATCCAAAGATCTCCCCTGCGGCATGTGAGCCTGTTGGTGCATGAAATCTCAGGGGCCATTCGGGCCCCGCCTATATCGTCTGCGAAATGAGGGTGAGGGCGAGGAGGAAGGTCGCCGGCGACATCCAACAAACCCAGCAGCACTCGAGGCTTTCCCGGCTGAAGACCTTGGTTCGGCCTAATTTCTATCGACTCCATCTTGCCTACTTTGTCGTTGCCATTCTGGTCTCGTCGGCGATCCTCTGGGGTTCTAACACCTCAGGCTTTAGGCTCAGGTATATAGACGCCTTGTTCCTGTGCTGTTCGGCCATGTGCAGTGTCGGTCTCACCACCGTCAATCTTGGCTCGTTGAATGGCTTTCAACAGTCCGTCTTATTTGCGAACATGTTGATGGGAGATCTGAGCCTGGTCAGTACTTCCGTCGTCATTGTACGTCGCTACTTCTTCGGGAAATATATCAGAGAATTCCTTCAACATTCAGAGGCCGCACGGAGGATTGCCAGTGATATTGAGGCCAATGGATGTCCTTCCACTGGCTCGGATCGTCCAACTACACAACAAGCTCGCAAGAGACAGCGCATAAACCCCCCTGCTGAACGAGAGAATGCCACGACTCCGACGCGATCTTCATCTCGCAGACGCCAGCATTATATTCGAGGTTACGGTGGCTTTCCCGCGCCGTGGGACTACGCCGGTCGTCTGGTAAGGTGGACATATGAGGGATTTGGCACCCCAAAAAAGCCAGATCACTCATACCTCTCCTTTGAACCCGCGTTGGATCATAGGGGACAATTTCGTGCCTTAACCAGCGAGCAAGAACGGGAACTAGGCGGAGTTGAGTACCGCGCTCTGAGACTTCTGACTTGGCTGTTACCAGCCTATGCCGTCTTTTGGCTGTCTTTCATCATCGTGGTGATGACGCCGTATGTCTGCGATACCAGTGCTGGAAATGTGATCAGGGAGGCTCAACCAGGCAATTTGAGCCCGGCATGGTGGTCTGTGTTTGTCAGTGTCTCGGCCTACACCAACAGCGGTCTGAGTCTCTTGAACGCGAACATGATTCCGCTGGGGAACAACTATATTATTCTGATCTTTACCGGCATGATCATCTTCACAGGGAACACTTTCTATCCAATCCTCCTCCGTCTGACCATCTGGCTCCTTTCCAAAATCGTCCCGCGACATTCGGAAACACACCATTCACTCCAATTCCTTCTGCACCATCCCCGCCGCTGTTACCTTTTCCTTTTTCCTGCCAGGAACACATATGGCTTACTGGTTATCCAGATTGCCATTAACCTCATAGCTTGGGTTATGTTCATCATCCTCAACATCAACTATACACCTGTTGACCCGCTTATCCCCAGTGGGCTCCGCGTGTTCCAGGGTCTGTATCAATCAGTGGGGTTGCGCTCTTCAGGCTTCTACATCATCCTCATCTCCGACGTTGCTCCAGCTCTTCAATTCTTGTACGTGATTATCATGTACATTTCTGTCTTTCCGATCCTCCTGTCCGTGCGTCAGACCAATGTCTATGAGGAGCGATCTCTCGGTCAAGACGACAGCTCGAAAACGCAGGCTGCTCTCCAAAATATCGATAAGCCGCAAACAGTCAAATCCGCGCTGGGCCAGCATCTTCGACGGCAGCTGGCCTATGATATCTGGTGGATTCTAGCTTGCGTCTGGCTTGTTTCAATCATCGAGCGTGATAAGCTAGCGCCCTCACCTCCCGCCTCCACCACGCCACCAGAACCCGAGTCGCTGCCTTCCCCGCATCCAGCCTTTGGACCCGGTCTCTTTGACATCATTTTCGAAACGGTATCTGCCTATGGCAACGTCGGACTCTCGCTGGGCGTGCCCTACGAAGACTACAGTTTCTGCGGCACATGGCAATCCTTGTCTAAGCTGATCCTCATGACGGTCATGCTGAGGGGTCGCCACAGGATATTGCCAATGGCGATTGACCGTGCTATATTGTTGCCGGGACAAGATATTATGGAGGAAATGGACAGAAGGGTGAGGGTGAATGAGGAAGACGAGGCACGATGGCAGAGGGACGAGCAGGAGGTGAGAGAAGAGGAGCAAGGAGGAGACGTCGAGTATGAGTCAGATGCGGGTAGCCACGGCGCTGATCCCCTTGACCGACGGCGGCAGAGACGGCAACCCAGAGTTTATGAAGAAGGAAATGATAACGATTGACGAACGCGAAGGAGGGATCATTTTGAGAGCAGGGCCTGACAGTAGGGGCACGTGATAATCACGTGACAGCAAGCGACCTGGCGACCTCTACCACACGTGACCTAAGTGCACGTGTGTGGAGTACTAAGCCCCTTACGGAGCTTCTCCCTCCTTTCAGCTCTTCCCTCCTCCTTTCCTGCGACGGTGTCCGCTTCACCATCGTGCTTCAGATGCTTGCTGGGCACGATCTGAAGGTAATTACGGCCAAGGGTCGTATGGAAGCTGTGCACTCCAGTCTCACTCTGCTGCTTACTCTACACTCGAACTTGTTGCGCTGTGCCTCTCTCCGACAAGTCCACAAGGTCCTGGTCAGATTGATGGTGCCTCCAAACAAACCGCGCTCGGGCATAATGAGATATGTCAGTATGGTCTGCCACCACTGATGTCGGTATAGAGTTATCGAGTGGCATGAATCCAACCGTTTCGGTCGTCATGAACGAGCCCCGTGCCGCATGCCGAACACCGCATTTCTAGGACCTTTTCTCAATGCGTGGTGGGCTGCGGGTCATTGAAATTTTGTTCCATCTCAAAAGACAAAGGCCACCTATGCTCCTTTTTGGCCCATCTCTTACCATCACCAGCTGCAGGACTTTTCTCCAAACAACCATACTTCCATCTCCAAGACGGATTTGTTTGAGGTGTTGTGTGGGCGGACGCCAAAAGTGGTTGGGGAAAGGCCCCCTGGCTGCACGTGAAACGCAACCCACGACACGCTCCGCCTCATGTTCGAAACATGTAACCGGCACCTCTGCTACCCGCGCGATCTGGTCAATTGGTTATAAGAAACTACCAAGACCTGTCCATTGCCAAGTCCATCTCCTTCTCATTCTTCCAAACGTTCTTTCCCTTGTCGTCGTTCTGTTTCCATTTTTCTCGCTCTTTACCGCTGGTCGGCTCTTTTCTACAGTCCTTCCTTTCCAAGAACACACATCTCACGTTCTTTATTTGTTTCCGGCATCTCACGAGATCAAAATGTTTGTCAAATCTACCGCCGTCGCCCTGATAGTGGCTGTTGGTTCAGCCTCGGCTGCCGTCATGTCTTACGGCAAGGAATCCCTCATAAAGGAGGATCCCGACTTCGGCCTGTGTCTTCCGACTATGAAGTTTGAGGGTGGACTTGGTGGACGATCTTCAGTGGACTTTACTTTCTTGCCCACAGACCCATTGTGTGCTCGTGGCCAGCAAGAGGTGTCGAACCCAAGTAAGTCCACCCTCTGCATTGTCTCTGACCTGTAACTAATGGCGCTGCAAGACATCATCACCAACCGAATCTGCGACCAGCTTTCCACCGTCTGTGGAGCAAATGAAGCTGCAAAGGCTCTTTGCCGTGAGTCCCAGGCCAAGATCCGAGCTTTAGGAACTCGCGACAGGTCCACCGCTGAGACCTGGAACACGCTCATGGGCTTTGGCGGTGCTTTGACCAACCCAGACGGCGGAGCTCCGGCGCCAAATGCCGTCAAGGACGACCTGAAGAAGAGAGACACCAAGGATGTGGAGAAACGGGCTCCTATTATTTACTGTTCTACCACCGAGTGGATTGATGACTGCACTGGATGGCCTGCTCCTGAACCCGTTGTCAAGCGATCCGAAGCTGCTGCTCCTGCTGCTCCCGCTGCTCCCGTCAAGAAGCGGAGTGTGGAGCCCGCTGCGCAGCCCAAGATGGAGAAAAGGTCGGAGGAGAAAGCAAAGAGGGCGGATATCCCAATGATCTATTGTTCGACAACCGAATGGATCGATGATTGCACTGGTTGGCCATAGAGGATTCGTTGCAAACTCGAAGAGGCCGTGGTTGTGTCCCGGACAGATCGCGCAGTCAGGGGCGCGCGGAGAGATTCGAAAGGGTGCTTGTCTTCAAGGCTGCCAGGGCTATCGTTGCATTACTATCAAATTTTGTGTCAATATAGGCCGCGTCTAGATGTCTCCCAGAGGCCATGGGACAGAGACAATGAAATTGGAATCAGAATGACCGACATCAACACATGAATCGGCGCCATTCTAGACTGTCGCGCATTACGCGTGTACTTGTATGTGCTGGTATATCCCGCAGGTGTGCCGAAAACTGCCTTTGCTTTCGGGAACATTCTCGGTCCGATGGCCAGACTTTGTGGGGAGACTTCTGGTTTTTCCAACTTGATTTGTATTTTCTTCTTCCTTAACCCAGCGCTCTTGAGTGTTTATAGCAGACTCGCCATTTACCCGGGGATCTTGCGTACGGGCAATGGTTGATCTTCATTCCCTGCCGGCGGGCTCACGCCCCGAACATGCAATCCGCAACAATGGACCCGACAACCTCGTGCTAGAGAGGTACAAATTGCGCGAGCTGGCGGAAGGCTGGCCTCTTTATCGGTCAGCTTCCCCCCCCTTTTCTGAGCGCGCGAAAACTTAACATGCACGGCCTTTCATTTGTTGTCAGGCCGCTGCTGATGATAATGATGCCGGGATCAGAGATGCCTGCGAATGGGAGAATCTCAAATCCATCTTCCACCCCGACGCTTACATCTACACCACCTGGACGGGGAGAACGCACCATCTGGACTTCATCGAGGCGTCGCAGGCGGGCATGGACAAAGGGGCCTTCATCATGCACCGCTGCCACGGGATCACGACCGACATCAACCGCGAGGCCACGCGGGCGGTGACCAAGATGAAGGCGACCATCACGCAGCGATTCGCGGTCCACGGGTGCGAGGTCGACGCGGAGAGTGATTGCCGGTTCTGCTTTTTCTGGGTCAAGATGCCCGAGACCGGCGAGTGGCGGGCGCGCTTTGTAAGGCATTGGTATGAAAAGGTAAGGGGGGACGAAAAGGGGGGAGAGGGGGGGGTGGCAAGCCCATTCCCATGTGTGCAGACGGCAGAACTGAAATGGCTTGCAACCTAGGACAAATTGATCCCCGTGAATCCGGCAAAAGTGCCCATCCTCGACGAGGAGCGCTTGATGGACTATCCGAGTGGTTATCGGTACCTGGCCTACCTCCAGGAAGCGACCATGGGCGTCGCGGTGCTCCGCGACATGCCAGGGCACAGGCGCGAGAATGGTGTGGAGGGCGGAAGCAAAGACTGCGGAGACAAGCATGACCTTCTGTATTGGCAGTGTAAAGCCTGGGTCGAGGGAAAGGATATGGAGATCTAAAACAGAGCAAACCTCTCCCCGCCTACAGAGATTCTCCCTGTTGGTGTGAACGGTGTCTCAGCCGCAGCCTCGTAGCCTTGTACTATAGCCCTGTAGCCTTACCTGCCTTGCCTGCTCCCCCCACATTCCCCACATTAATTGTTTGCCTTGCATGGGAACAACCGCCTCGCGTTTGCCCAGCAACATCTTCTTTCCATCAAAGCCGCGGCCATCTGTCACGATGTAGCCTCGCAACTGACGTTCTGGCATTTCCATTTCGTGTGACATGTCCCAGCAGCCCCGTCAAGTCCCCACGCACTCGTCATCGCCGTCGAAACCCTCATCGCGGCGGACCACAAGCGTTGGTGGTGGTGTTGGCAGCAGCGGCGGTCCTCCTCCGTCTCAACCGCAACAGCAGTCCACGGCAACACGCAGCCTCCTGCCCTCTCCGCACTTTGAAGACGACCCTATCGTCGCAAATCATCAACAGGCTAAACTCAGACACAGGCCAAGTCTCACCCTCAACAACCCAGAGTACTCGGAGCACGCCGTTGCGGAGTCGGAGCACTACAGCCACGGCCTTGCATCTGCCCATCCAGGAGAGCTGCCGATCCCGTCCTTCCAGCCTTTCTTCACCTTGATCGAAGACAGCGTCACGAACGAGCACTACCATCCCACGGTCTACTACATCTTTGCAGACGACGATGCGGACATCATTACCGAAGCTGCGTTGAGGAGTCTGGAGGCATTGGATCCCACCCAGCGAGGGGATCAGACTGGTGCTACAGCAGGAAGACAGGGGCGGCCAATTTCACATACGCATGCACAAGCACCTTGCAGTCCTCAGGACCAGAGCCTTCATCGTCAAGATGACAGTATCAATGCACCCCGCCTTCCTCTTCCCACGGCCGATACGCGCGAGCACTACATAATCCTCGACGTGCATCCGCAGCCTCGCACCCAGAACCAAGACGATAACACCCCTGCCGGTGTTGCTTCTTTGGGCAGTGCCCCCCCTGCCTATAACTTCGAGGCGACATCCGCCCACAGTCTCAGCGCGGAATGGCAAGTCTTGCGGACCAGCATTTCGACCGCGCCGACCATTGGAGATGGACCGAGTGAAGAGGGGGAAGGGCTGATGTTGAGGATCGAAGGGAGAGGAAACACCCCCAGCGACCTTGCGGCGGGCAAAGAGAAAGAGAAGACCATGGGAGACGCCGACAGAGAAAGGGAAAGGGAAAGGGAAAGGGAGAGTCTGGAGGAGATGATCGATCGGTTTCAGCGACGCTTGGATGATGTTAGGACGGTCATCGAGGCGGGGCGGATCAGTGTGCCCGTGGGTACTGCGGCGCTGGGCGGCGAGGAATGAGAACGACAGGATGAGTCTGGGGTTGACGGTAAAGAAAGAGAGAACAGCGAATTCGTTGTCACACTGAGAAGTTCTCATTGAAGCGCAAGCTTTAATCTGAGACTCACCTCCCTATAAATACGGTTGAGTCGGTTATATGGCAAGGCACTTACGACGGCGGCGTTCAATTGCACACACGCGGACTCAAACAAACCATGACGATTAATGCTGCTGCAGGCGCGTCGGAGTCTTCTGCTTACCTTCCTGTCTAGTACCCTCCTACCTACTTACTCTGTTAGTACACACCTATCCACCTACCTACCGACCTAGCCAGCCACTCAGTGTGCTTGGATAGGTTTAGGTCGGATAGGATAATACAATTAATTCCCGCCTTCGGGATTTCTGTGAAGGAGAGAATCTAATTCCGAGACTGGCTGTACAATGGGAGGAGGGAGGATGAGGGAGCGAGGGATTGAGGGAGTACTAAAGGGAGGTAGGAAGAGAGGAAGGAGGATGGTCGAGTGGATAGACGGTCCTGACTACCCAGGGACCTAGTGACCCAGGTACCGAAGACTCGCCGTACATTTACATACATACTCGGTTCTTCTTCTCCAAGGACTATCTATGTCCTTGTCCATGGTACTACATGCTTAAGTACCTGTTATGTTGGAGGATCCAAAGTGATATTAGTACTAATACTGACTCCTTTCTTCCGGTTCCGGTTCTGGTTCTTGTTCATCTGGACTTCCATTCTACGAATTCCAATCCAATCCCATTATTCCAATCCATCCAGCCCTTCCTTCTTTCCTTTGTTGCCCAGTGTCCAACGATCGATCTATACCTTTCTATACCACCCACTCGTTCTCTGATTCGATCCCTCGAAACACGAACAAAATAACAAACAAAAGGGGGTATCTCTAACAAACTCGACTTGAACGCGATTTGATTCGATTCGTCAGGATCCGGCAGAATGTCCGACAAACTCCAAGACACCACCGCCATCACTTATCAGACCCATTCATTGTCACGAACACATAACAACGCACCCCCTTGTCTCTTAGGCGATCATTCAGGCGGGCTGCTTCTCAGCCTCCTGCCTCCTCCCAATGGCCCAATGCTCTGACTGAAATTTTCCACTCCACCAATCCCAATCCCTGCTAACCCAGCCATCGTACTCCTCGTCATCCTACCCGACTTCACAGTAGGTAGTCTGCTCTCCACAACCGCATTAGTCGTCGCATGCCTCTTGAGTGGCGGTTGTTGACTTCCACTCCCGACACTTTTACTAAAATCCAAGAGCACAGGTTTCTCGTTATTGCTGGACAACGTCGTGGATGTTGCTGATGATATCGCCGCTCTGCTACTGTTGATGACATTGATGTCGACTTCCTTCAAGCCAGACTTCGCTTCACTGAGAGGTATCCCACTTCCAGTGCCTTGTGTTTGCGATAGCGATATCGTAGATGGCTGGGCTGAGGGAATTTCAATATCGGTGAAGATCTTGGTCTTGCTTGGACTCGGCAGTTTTGAAGGCGATGCCGGTCCTTTGCGTGGTGATGCTTGTTTCCTGGGCGAACGAGCAGGTGTCTTTGCTGATGAAGGCGTCTTGGTGACAAGGGCAGGGTCGGGTAAGCCCCTTATTCTGGCAATGATGGACTCGTGGTTTTCGGTTCGTGGCAGCTGGGTCGGGTAATTCCACTCCCTTTTCTGTGGTGTTTCGCCAGTTGGAGTGTACTCGCTCAAACTTGCTTCCGAGAGATCTGCCTTCATTTCCCGCAGTGGATGCCGTGTTTCTTCCTCCAATGATACGACTAGCTTGTCGACACCTGCCCAATATGTCTTCTGTTCTCCTGCAAAGTCTTCGAATACTCCACGGCGGAGCTGCGACTCCTTCTCAAGACTGCTGAGGCCGTCTTGAGCACGAGATACGGCTTTGCTCAACGTCTCCGAACGTTCAGCATGATGACTATCGTTCTGTAATCGAGCCCTCGTCACAAAGTCGTCCAGAGCTTCCATTTGAGTTGACATTTGTGTCAGCTGAGCGTCGACAATCTTGACCGTTTCCTCGTGGACAGCCTTGGTGGATTTTTGGATGGCCAAGTTTCGTGCACTAACCGCCTACAAGCTGTTAGACTCCATCCAGACAAAGGTTGCGCCGTACTTACCGTCCAGTCTCCCTTCATCCTGGTCTTCAATTCGTCCTTAGATTTAACCACCAGCGCCGTCAATTCGCTGTCCTGAATTGTCCACTTGTTCATACCATCCCGATAAGCCTTATCGGCATTTTCAAATTTCTCCGTCGACTCGACAAGGTGTGACTGAACATTATTCAATCTGCTGGACAGTCTCTGTTCCTGTTGTTGATGTGACATCTCGATTAGTTTTAGGATCTGCTCCTTGAGATTCTGATTCTGCTCCGCAGCGGCCTTCCTCTCTTCGTCCCTGATGGCTTCGAGCTGGGTAGAAACTGAGAGTGATGCTTCAATGTTTGCGCCATTCGCTTCTCGAAGAGCCGACGACATGGCTTCGATTTCCTCTCGCTGCACCGCCAATTGCTTGGTAAGGTCATCGAACATCGATTTGAAGTCTTTCCCAAGCCCGCTGTAAGACGAATGCAACTGGGTGTGAAACTGTTCCAGCTCCCCGATCACCTCTGCAGATATTTTTGCAGCGGCTTGGGACAGACCTCGGAGGCCCTCGCTGAGGTTGTCCTTGACATTCTCACGTAGGTCTTTGATCTCCTCGAGAACATTGTTCATAGAGTCCCTGGCCTGCGCAGATTGTTTTTCGACACCAGCGCAATCCTCAGCCAGGGCCGAGGACTTCTCCTGAGACAGTCGTGTAGAAGACTCCGTGCGAGCTATCTCGTCCGCTAGAAAAGACTCGATACGGCGTGCACTTGCTGCGATGGCTTCCGCGTGTGCTGCTTGGAACTTTGCGATGCGCTCGTCAACCATTCCACAGACATCCATGACCCGGTCTAGAGAAGAATTGAATGACCTGCGATTTTGAGTGTGGAGGACAGAGCGACGTCTCAACTTCGCTTGGAGACCGTCAATATCCTTGAGGGACACACCAACGGTCGAAACTAGCTCGGTTCCCATACCGAATAATTTCTCCTCTGTCACTTCATGTGCTTCGCGAAGAGCAGTCTCTTCGGCCAGCAGCCTCTTTGTGTCCGCGAGAACAGCTTCAGTATTTTCGAGCACATCTTTTGTGCTTTCCAAGGTTGCGCGAGTCCCTTCGTTCTCTCGTTTCAGCATCGTAAAGCTGTTGGTCAAGCTGAAGAGCTCCTGAACTTTGTTGCGTAGACTGACCTCCATCGTCTCGATCCGAGCCTTTTGTTCCTCGCTCAGTATTCTTCTGGACTCACTCTCGACCGTAATCTCTTCGTACTGATCATTGGTGAGGTAGACGCCATTGCGTTGTCTTGTGGCAATCAGTTCGCTCTTGAGTTTTTCGATTTCGGCGGTGAACTCTTTCAGCAGAGTTTTCTTGGAAATCATCGAATTGACCTGCGGTTTGTTTCGAATATTCTTCGCACGGAAAGCGTAATCCAGAGTCGAAATGGTCTCCTCGAGATTGCTCTTCGCTGGTGAAACTGTGGCAATGATACATGTCTTTGTTCTTCCACCCAGCGAGTCTTGTAGCAGCCTCGTTAGTTTCGATTCTCGATAAGGGATGTGTGAGCTTTTGTCCACAAGAGCGTTAATGACTCTTCCAAGCGTCAGCAAGCTCTTGTTGATCAGTCCAGCTTCCGCAGCTCTTTTGTTCTCCGCGCCACTCCTTTGGATATTCTCACTCCCAGCCAGATCAACCAGGTTAAGTTTCCCAGAGCAGATGTAGTCTTCGCCCGTGTTGTTGGGTTTCTTGACATATGTTGTAATGGTGAAGACCGTATGACTTCGAGAGCTGAGGTCATTGCATTTGGTGGCTGCAACTTGACGCCTATGGCTGCCTTCTCGCAAAAGCTTGATGCCAGCCGCTGCATTCTTAATGTGCGACTCTTCCATGCCCTGAACCACTGTGGCGGCATGGCTCTTCCTGCTCGCATCATCGAAGATTTTAAGCTTGACAGAATTATCGGGCGACAGTAAATCTCTCAATTCCTCGTTGTACAGCTCGATGAATGAGCATTTCACCGAACACTCTACCTCATCCGCTTCCAATTTCTGGAACAGCGAGTAAAGCACTCGAGGTATAATGCCGGCCGCATCAGATAACAGTCCAAGGGTGTCTGTCATGTCGCCCGACATGGTGTATGTTTTCCCCGTCCCCGTCTGGCCATAGGCGAATATTGTGCAATTGTAGCCTGTCAGCATTTCATTCAATATGGGCGCGACGACATCGTCGAATATGATAGCTTGGTCCGCTGCTGGGGAGAAGACTTTGTCGAAGTAGTAGGTTTTGTTGCTGATTGCATTCGGTCCCATCGATAGTTCAACAGTCTTGCCTCTGACTCCGCTTGTTGATACCACCACCCCGCTGTTTTCCCGAACTTCTCTGGCGCTCCGACCCCGACATCGGACGACGACATGAATATTTGTCTCTTCACCATGATCTTGGTCAAAATCTCTCTCTTTTCTTTTAGTGCCTGCATTAGAAGTACTGCTCGAGGATAATGATTCTGCCGGGGAAGGAGCACGGCCGGTTATTGAAGGATATTGTGCCACATGCGGTCTAGGCGGTGGGCGCATTGAGGTTCTCATGAAAGAATGAGCAGGACGCTGTGATCCTGACATGATGATGAGAATGAGGAGGAGGAGGAGGAGGATGATGATGATGATGATGATGCAAGAAGTGGTGGGGGATAGCAGATGGAGGGTTACTGAGCGTGCGGCAGCTACATTTGGATATGCTTGACCAAAACAACAAGTGCCGACAAGGTACCAGGGTGGAAACAAGGATCCTGCCTAAGTAGTAGGGATGAATTTGCTGGAGCGATGATTCCGCAGGCCAGCAGAACGAAAGAGGACGCAATGTAAACAATGCCAAGGCGCCAAATCAGTGGATCTTGTCATGTGATGCGATGCTGGTGATGCTGGTCTCGGATTGGTCCGCCTGCAATGGGGAGGAAAAGGCCAACTTGACGCTGTTCTGACTCCTCGTGACTTGTCTTCTATTCTTGTTTGCTGTGATCACCAGGATAAATCACAGAGGCCTTCACTCAGCAAGCAGCTCCTCCGTCTTTCTTCTTCTCCTTCTCTCCCGTCATGCCATCTTCATCATGACGGAGAACGCCTTCAAGGCGGCTTATCAGATCCAGCCTGAAAGGGGCATTAGTTGGATATGTATGTGGATATCCTTCTCAGCAGCAGGTCGTGCTAACCGTGTCAGCGCTGGGGTCTTCTATTTACAGTATAATAACGAGGCTGAAGGCCTCGCCACAAATCTATCCAAGCCTCCAGTTGTCCTATTCCGCTTCGGAGCCAATCACGCAGCCGGTCGTTCTCAGTCTTCCGTACAATGGATTGAGGCTCCGATTTGACGGTCCAGACCAGAGGCTACGGCTAATTGAAGTGCTTGACTTCTCTCTCAGCTCTTTTGTTTATAAGAATACAGATCTGGTCCGTCGAGCTAAGGGTTCGGACGAAGCCAACCAAGATGAAGGCTCTCCCCACGGACCAACGTTTCGGCATGTCTACAGCCGTCTATTTGGGCCAACGTATGCCGGAGAATACATTCCTCCAGAATCAGGTCATTTAGACGGCACCTATGTTCTCTCGTATCCAGGGCTGGCATTTACCTTTCCTGTGAAACATAAATCCTGGTCCGACAAGGTTGATTTTGTGTCAATTCTATCGTCCAACGCAACCGGGCCGGCTAAGTCGATGGCCATCTTCCCAGGATCTTCGTGGACAGAAGCCAGAACAAATTTGTATACGAGGCCGCCAACATATCCTCGGTCACCGACGCTGGTTGGCAAGTCGGTTGACACAATTCCCGATGAGATCGAGGAGGTAAGAGTGTTCGGCGGAGGCAGGCTAGAACTGGTACGGAGGGCTTCACCGCCTATGGCAGTCACATTGGGGGAAACGACGCCTCAAGATCTCGTGGCGGAGCTGGGGCCGCCTGATGCCATATACCGTAAGAATGACCGGCGCATTTCGATTCACGCTACGGGCAACCCTGCGAATCGACGGCGGCCTAGCATGTCTCCAGGACTCGATCCCCAGGCACTGGATACGGACCAGTCTTCGATCCAAAGCTATACCGAAGAATCAGACTTCGAACACGAGCTTGAGGACGATAGGGCAGATTCGTCGAGTGACGAATGTTTCTACAACTACTTTAAGCATGGATTTGACATTCTGATATCGTCTGCAGCTACGAGATCACCACCTTTCCCCGATTCAACGATCAGCGAGAGCTCTTGTTCATCCAGTGCGCAACTGGTCGCCACGAAGATGTTCTTACATGGCAACGTACCCGGCTCGTTCGCGTTTAATCGTCATCGAAGAAGTCGGTGGGTGATACGTACTCGTGGGGAGAACCGAGGGCCGGTGCTGACTTCAGAGATGCCCTTCTCGGAAATATCTCGTGCGTTGAAAGAGGTATGGCATGAGACGTACAAGGACGAGAACGAGGAGAAACAAATGCAACGGGGAATGGTGCTCAACAGGGGATGGGGAGAGAGCCCAGAGAGTTCGATAGAACTGCTGGGGGATCTAGAGGAGAGCCCGACTCGAGAAAAGGCCGATGAGCACGGAGCAGCAAATGCCGGTGGAGTGATGGGCAACACGGAATTGTTTGGGTTTCCGGGCATGTTGTTTGAAGTGCTGAAGAACGATACAGTGAGTTGTGTGACGGTATTCTAGATAGAATGTACTGTATACCGAGGACGGAGAGAGAGATCAGGCTGACTGAGTGACTCCCTGGCTCCCACCGGCTCCCCACCACTTCCTTGTTAGCTGGTTAAGTAGGCCTCGTGCGGAGTCCATGACTAGGGATGATTCGCCCACCCGCAGTTTGGTCGGTGCTTGATTCTGCTGTGTGTCCCGCTTCCCGCCTCCAACCTCCGATCCTTTTGCTTTTGATTCCCGCCCACCGCACAACAACAACTTGACTTACTCTTAAAGCGCAGCTGGACTCTTCTTCACCTCACCAGCCTGCACTGTAGATGCGTTTTCCCATGAACACCGCCGGCAGCCGCAGCACGGCATCACTCCATTCCTAGCGAAGATGCGCACCTATCCTTCCTGCTTGCTCTCCGCCACAGACAAACCCGGTACGGAGGACTTCCTGCGCCTTGAACGACCCTACCTTGCACTACCCTTACCTCTCTGCCCTACCCTCTGTGTGGCCTTGCATGTCACTAATATTGACGGGAAAATGCAGTTGTAGCGTCCAGCTACCGCACCTTCCAAAGTCTGCGCAGATGAATCTTTAAATCCCCCCCCCTATACCGTCTCATCAACACCCAATCTGAAACTGAGACAAAAGCGGCCGGAAGATGAAAATGTCCAAACACACTGTCATCCGTTGTCTTGTAGACGACACGGCCTTGACCAGGAACCTCGACGAGATCGAGGGCTGGGTCTCGCAGGGCCTGATTATTCTTGTTGTGCCGTTGTACAGTATGGCCGCCGCCGTCGCGATTGCTTAGTGTCCTGCTAATCTGCGCCAGCGCTTTCCCGCCTAAATGTCCTGAAGAAGGATTCTTCACAGATTGGTATCAGTGCGCGTAAAGCACTCAAGTTCCTCGATCGCAGCACTTCGTCTCGCGGCGATTTGCGACACGACCCCGTCATCCTACAAGGTCCTGACGACCAATACCCCACGTGGGCTGAGGTGGAGGCACACTACACAAATGAAAGTATGAAGACTGCTGGGATGAACGAAGGGGAGGTATCGATCCCCATCATGGACAACAAGCAAGAGAAGGACTCAGAAATTGCCTTCAAGGTGGGCGCTGGCGTCGCAGGCCCTTTGTCCCAGGTGCTCTTGGACAAACTCAACTTTGCGAAAGAACCGGCGACCATGTCCCCCGGCTCGACACCACCTTTGTCGCCCTCTTCCTCTGGGCCGCAGAGCTCTAAGACCAGCCCTGAGGTCAAGTCTGCCACCATAATTAGTCAAGATCAGACCCCTGTCCCACCGTCGCTTAAGACTCTTCTTAACCCTGTCGTCTGGTATGTGCGCGAGAAGAAGACTCCTGCGAACGAAAGTCTTGTCTTCCTTACCAACTCAGCCGACACCATGCACCTCGCGCGGGACTTTGATATTCCCACCAAAAATATCCACCAACTGCGAAGTGCTCTCGGCGTCGGAGAAAACGACACCCCGACGCAAGAAAACTCCAAGAAGGACAAGTCGAAAAGAACATCCACCTCGGAGCCGAAGACGCTTTTCAGCTACGATGACGTTGAAAGTGACGAAGAGGAGGTCGTCTTCAAGCCACGAGGTCGGGGCTCAACGCGTGGAGCACAGTCGTCGCGCGGCGCTGGCGCCGGCACTGGTACCATCCGCAGCAATCGAGGAGGAAATGCTCGGTCTCCGCGAACTTCTTTCAGCACCCCTGCGCAGTCGGCGCAGAACAAGCCACAAATCCCGGTTGAAGAGATTGACCCTGATTCATTTGACCGTGGCAGCTTCGCGCGGGGCAGTACGCCACTCGTCAATACCAGCAACCATGTCCCACCCCAATTCAACAGTGGTCGTGGTGCGTACCGCGGCAGCTATGGCCGCGGAGGGGGACGAGGATCAAATTTCAATCGTGGTTACAGCAATGGATTCGAACGTGGAGCGGCCCGCGGCAGGGGTCGGTTGTTCGTCCCTTAGGCATGGCTGCCCCTGTTGTAGACGTTGGACGTCTGCAACAGCACGAGCAAACTCAATTGCACCTATTGGCAGGAGCCGAAACGAACCGTAGCCGCACACCTCAAGGCCTGAAACAGGCATTTGCGAATTGCGACAGATCTCTGCGGTTCGTCATGGTCATGCACAGACACAAGATCCACCAGCTGGGTCTCCAGTTTTGCAGGCGTCAGTACTTTTCCGTTCGGGCTTGGATCATTGTTCAGCACTTTCCGGTCAAGACATCTTGGTGGTTGGAAGATGGATAAGAGGTCCGAACATGAGGATTGGTGAGCGTGGCAGAGGAATGCACAGAGGAGAAGCCTTTCGTCGTCTCTTTCCTCCATGTCAGGTGGATCGGGTCTTCATGCCTTGCCTTTGGGCACCACCACACACTCATTCCGATCCGCCGATTCTCGCTTCGACACCAACTGGGGTCAAGAAACAGAATTGTGAAGGGGACCAGCAGTGAGGTTGGCACGCTCATTTCAACGGGCCAGGGCTACAAAGCCAGAGCACGCGGGTGGTGTCGCTGCGCACGGCTGGGATAATTTTTCGTTTATTTTCTTTCTTCCTTTTTTTTCTTCCTTTCTCTTTCTTTCTTTTATCATTATCGGGCACCGACAAGTTCACGTATGTCGAATATGCATCCTCTTGTATAGCAATGGCATGCAATCTTATTATTGGCTACGTGGTGATGTTGTGCATTAGGCGCAATAGGAAAACGCGGGTTCTGTAAGCACTCGACTAACCTACCCACCATTCACCATCCACCATCACCGTAGGTACTAATATCCACCATCCATCATCCACAAGTCACCATCCGCCATCGACCATCCCTTTCCAACCTTTGCTGCATTAGGCATTCGTCTCCTTCCGGATTTTGACCAGCCGCCAGTAGCTCACGACTTCCAGCACCGACCTTGCAGGGGCGGTGCGACTACAACTCAGTTGCTCCATCCTGCCGTGTGAACCGCTTTGGCCCAGATTCAAAATAACCTCAGCCTCCCTTCTTTTCCTATCTGGCCTTCATCGACTATTTATCTTTGTTTTTGCTTGCTTCCAACGGGTGACCTCAAGCCTTATGACAATCCCGCAGCTTCGATCCTATACCACCGATGCAACCAGGACATCCGGAGCCCAAGGAGATCTTCCACCACCACCCAACGCCCGGCCACCTCCCATATACCGCGGAGAAAGCGTATATCAATTTTACCCAACACTTCCACCGCCCCTCGCCCTCCACGTCACAGGCGCCATTCCGTGACACATATTTACTCAAGAACCGACCCTGTTCCCCGCAAAGAGACAATGCCTGAGTCTCCGTCTCGGCCGGCTCGACCAAGAACATTGACCAGAATAGTCACTAATGCTGCCATTTCGCTTCAAAAGACCCTAAGCGGAGGGACAGGAGAAGATGGCGACATTGCATCTTGGAACCCGGCCTTGGGAGACGGCCTCGATCATTCTTCTCTTCCACCAGCTTCTCGTTCATCCATGCAGAATGGCAAACAAATGGCTCTGGACTTTTGTAAGAGTGGTGAATTGGGCTGGAGGAAATATATCAAGTACTTCACACCATCGTATGTGAGGCCCCATCGAATCCTCACGCCACCTGCTCACGGCACGCTCACAGCTGGTTCACGGTGACCATGGGCACGGGTGTAAGCACCTTCCTCCCCAAGTTGATGCCGATTTCTGGCCGTGTCCTTCTGGCCCGAAGCCGACGACGAATTCATCCCATCTGTCTTTGATGCAATGGCTGACTTCAGGGCCATAACAAGGTCGTTGCGAGCCTACTCAACCAGTTCCCATACAATGCGAGATGGCTTTATTGGCTGTCTGTCGTCGTCTTCTGCCTGAACATTGGGCTCTTCGCTTTATTCATCTTCGTGTCCATTCTCCAGTTTATTCTGTTTCCCAGGGTATGGATCACTATAGTCGAGCGGCCAAATCAAGCCTTCTTCTTGAGTAGTATACCAGTGGTACGTGTTTCGACTTTGTCTCTGGAGGATATACTGACTCGCACCCGTAGAGTCTCGGGACCATCGTCAATATGATGGTGTTTGTGTGTGCCCCTGCGTGGGGGAAATGGGTCGTTTATCTTGCCTGGGGGTGAGTATTGCTCTTCACTCTTGACACAGTTGCTCTCTCTAATCAGCCCAGGTTATGGATGGCCGATGCAGCCTTGTCACTGCTCTGCGCCTTGTTCCTACCTTTCCTGCTCGTCATCAAACGACAAGAAGAAACCCCGTTGTCGACAATTACCGCTCTGCAAACATTCCCTGTCATCGGAACAGTGGTCGCATCCGCCACGGCGGCTTTGGTTGCGGGAGTCTTGCCGGACAATGAACAAGCTTTGGTAACGGTCCTCATCGGCTATGTTCTTTGGGGTGTCGGCGTTCCATCAGCAATCTTCATCCTCATCACCTACTGGCAACGACTGACTATCCACAAGCTCCCGCCGCGTGAGCTTATTGTGTCTTGTTTCATACCCCTTGGCCCTTTGAATATGGGGGCTTTCGCGATCATGAAGCTCGGAAATGTCGCCATGAGAGTGTTCCCTCTGACAGAGACCATCCATCCTCTCGCGGGAGATTTGGCCTACAATTTTGGAGTACTTTTATCCTTGATCCTATGGGGGTTTACCTTGTTGTGGCTCTTCCTTGCCGTCGCAACAATATACCATTGCAAGCATTTCCCATTCAATATGGGTTGGTGGGGGTAGGTTTAATCGCGAAAACATATATCGTGTTGAGCCTATCTGGCGACTGACGGCGGTCAGGTTTACTTTCCCGATTGGCACGCTTGCCCTCTCGAGCAATACGCTTGCGGAAGAGATACCTTCTCGGTTTTTTCGAGTCATCGGATCTGTAATGCTCCAATTCCTGCTACCTCCACGCATCTTCTGGCTAACCACTGCCATGACAGGTAACCTCTGTCTGTGTCTTTCTGCTTTGGATCCTCGTCGTGTACGCCACTCTTAGAGATCTCATCACAGGCGGGCAGCGACTATTCAAGGCACCTACACGGGCAGTGCCCAACACTGACGAAGGGCCCGACAAATTTGACGATGCAGAGAAGATTACCTGACGAGTGAGAGCGAAGGCCCTGCTGTTGGGAGCTGTGCATAGAGCATTTAATCTTTTGAGATGATCAGAATTCAGGCGGGCTTCCCAGTCACGGTTTCATTGGTTCCGATTTGGTGATCTTTACCCATGCAGAATGCAAGAGCGATACAAGTCCATTCTCTCATGAGAAGACAACCGTCAAGAGGCCTTGAAAGAAGAGAGGCCTCCTGTCGTTCTGGAATGGGGCCCAAATCCGACCTGCAGAACCGGTGCAACATCGAAGCCTTTCGACATTATACTTGGTCGGCGTCCTATATGTTGGCACATGAATCCGAAGAGGTGTCTGTGGCTGGTTCGTGTTTCTGATGGAGACGAGCGAGGATGCACAATTCAGCCCCTATGTTTCGACTAACGGGATCCTGGCGAGGAAAGCTTCAGCCACCGAACTCGAGATTTGTAACGGCCTCATGAGAGAGAGAGAGCGACTCGATCGAAACAAGCGACTCTGATCAGGGCAACGACAGAGGAGCAACATATTCACACCTCCCCTTCCCAATGAAAAGCTCTAAATCAAACTCACAGTATTAATCGCGCCTGATGGAAGCACACTAGCCCACTGGGGTCAAAAGGGTCGCCGACATAACCCCCTTGGACTGCCTCGTCTCTGTTTCCAAGCTCTGCCCTCCCTTCGGCTGGGCAACTGGGCATTACTGGGATATTGATGACGGAGACGGAAAACCAACGGCGGAGTGATATGTCAGTGCAGGGTAATGGAGCGCTCAGACGGCGACTCTGCGAGGTGTCGGGCAAAAGGTCTTCTGAAGATAGCTGAATGCATTGGTCTGGCCGGGAGGGAGATGGCAGATGAAAGAGACGGTTTCCCAGCATAGGATACTGTTAAATGGATGCGATCATAAATATTGAGAGAGTACTTGGATGCGCTGATAGATATTCGTAGCGAAGTAGATTGGGTACCAAGGTACATACTGTACTGTACATATGTACATATGTACCTCGTACTCCGTATATCGTGCGTTATCCTTATCGAACGATAAGATAGGGGACCCCGCATTCAAACAACAAAGACTGCGTTGCGTCTGCAGGAGCTCAACTGCGTTTGCACCCCTCACAACCCAAAAATTCAGGAGACGAGTTCTCACCATGACAGTTCGCAACACGGAAGAGGTCGTCTTTTCGTTCTCACATCTGAACCAACCAGTCCAATGCTGAACCTATCGTTTCTTACAACAAACTAGGAAGAAGAAAAAAAGGAGGCAAAAGTGGGAGAAGGAGAGAGGGGGGGAATCAAAGAGAAGGAGGGAGGAACACAAGTTCAACGTAACCGGAACCACAACGCATGACCACGATGGCGCCGTCGACAAACGAGACCTCGACTTCGACGTCCCCCGTACGCATCCTGATCATCAACCCCAACACATCCCAGCATATGACCGACGCGCTCGTCCCCGTGGTCGAAAACCTAGGCATCCCCGCGGCGCAGTACACGTTCTTCACTTGCCCGACGACACCAGGGAGTATCCCGAGCATCAACTCGCCCGCCGACGCGGCAAAGTCTGCAGAGATCTGTCTCCCGCACTTGGTGCCGCTGCTGCCGCACCACGACTGCTTCCTGGTCGCGTGCTACAGCCAGCACCCGCTCGTGAGCGAACTGAAGAGGGAGTGCGCGGCACTCACGGCTGCCGCGACCCCCCACGGCTCCGGCGCCAGGAAATACGTGACGGGGATATTCGAGGCCAGCGTGCTGGCGAGCCTGGCCCTGCTCGGTGAAGCTGAGGGTGATCTGGAGACTACCGCCACCACGGCGACGGAGTCCTTCAGGGAAGGCTCGGGCGCGTTCGGGATCGTCTCGACCGGCAAAGTCTGGGAGCACGCCCTGCAGACGGCCGTCGAGGAGTTCCTGGGGTATCCCGCAACCGCCGCAACAACGGCGGTAACAACTGGGGAGTCGAAGTCCCGCTTCGTAGGCTGCGAAACCACAGGATTGAATGCGAGCGAACTGCACGACCTGCCCCCTGCTGAGGTGCGCAGGAAGATGATGGACGCGACCAAACGACTCCTCCGTCGCGGCAACACCAACCGCGACGCTACCGCTACAGCCACAGACTCGGATTCAGCAGGAGCAGCAACAGCAGAAGGCTCAGACTGGAAACCGACGACCAAAACGATCGTCTCGCGCGTAAAGGCAATCTGCCTAGGCTGCGCGGGCATGGTGGGCCTGGACTCGGCGGTGCGGACCGCGTGCGTCGAAGCTCTGGGCGAGGAGAGAGCCAGGGACGTCTACATTGTCGACGGCGTCAAGGCTGGCGTGGGAGCCTTGTATGCACTTGCCCGAGCTGGGTTCTAGCATTGACCTGACCTGACCTGACCTGACCTAACCTAACCGGCTGGCTAACTAGCTAGCTGTCTAACTAACTTACCAAATATCTACCTTGCCTTGCCTTGCCTTGCCCTGCAAAACCTTAGGTGCACAGGTACGTGGGAGCTTATATGCCGAATGACACGGGCTCTCTGCCCAGGCAGCTGGGTAATACGAAGGTAGTCCGGGAGTTGCCAAGCCAGCCAGTCACCCAGGTACCTATGTAAATAGTCGCCGTAGAGAAGTGATATGCTGGCTTAGGTTTCTCCGCCAATGGACCGTCAACGGAGGGAAGAAAGCGAACCACCAAGGGTGTTTTTTTTAGAAGTGAAATATGTCTTTGTTGTCGTTGCCCAAGGGCTGTGAGTGTACTATGTAGCTACTTGGATCAAGCAAAAGGAGCGACAAAGAGTTGGACACATCGACCGACCGACACATCTCTCTCAAAACGAGTATTAGTCGATGGATGGGGGG